GGCCAACCTTTGTTTTTGTAGGAATAATTTTCACATGCATGAATTATACAATGTAAATTTAAGAACTAAATCAAAGTCAAAGTGATGACAGACAGGCCAGGCTACTCCAAGATGCTAAACGACACATATAGTTGGCTAATCTCACATCATTGGAGTCCGTAAACCTCAATATCTTCTTTTAAGACGTATTTGTATTGCAGTTATGCTGTGGTGATATTTAAGTCCTGCTTTGCAATACTAACAGATGACTGCATTTTCATTCACTTCTAATAAAGTGCTTCCAAACAATTGATGCTTTTGCCCTATATTTGGGCCATACTGCCAAGTAATTAGCACTAAAAAGAATAGCTGATAAAAATGGGGCAAGTTCAAAAATCAAATGCCATATTCCAGAAGGACTTTAAGTTAAAGATATGTGCCAAAACAGATTAGAGCCTTTTTATTCTAGGAGTATACAGGAATTGTTTAAGGCTGCAAATTGGCCCTAAATTCCATTTGATTTTGATTCACAAGGACCCGATTGGATTCAACTTCGATTCTATTCAACTTATGTTTGAGACACATTCATTAATGCACGATCAAACCAGTTTAAGTTAACATTACAGGACGAAAATAAGATAATGAAAAACAATTATATAGTAAGCATGAAATTTATTCTTGTACTGTGAATACACCAAAACATTTTGTCCACACTGTTCCTTCTCCAGTTCTTGTATCCAGTCAGAAATAAATTATATCTCCAGACTATAAGTTGCATAAATTTGCTTCAGTGTTACATTTGGGGGAAAAAAACAGACAATTAGCAATATTCTCATAGCTGACAGCAGGTCACAGAAATAATAACCATTTTCTCATTTGCTTTTATTTCTTTCTACTTATTCTGCTTATATATAAAATGCTATTTTGCGTTTCCATTAGCAGTGTACTGAGTATGACTGGTGTGAGCATGAGCCCTACTTTGACCCGACATGACTTGCTTGCATTCACGTGCTATAGCACTCCATCACCGTGACTACGATACTATTGCAACCTGCCTTTAGGTGAAAAAGAAAGTAGCGCCACCTATATGATAAGAGGACTGAAGTAAAACTCAGTGAAAATATTTTCAAAATCTCGGGGAAAAAGCATAAATTAACTAGATCGATCTTGCGATTTTGTGAATTGATATCGAAGCATCAAAACGAGGATTGTGATTAATCATAAAATCGATATTTGGCATTTTTAATCAAACGTATCCACACTGAATGTCGGTATATATCTAAAAAGTAACAAAATTCATATGTGATACAATGCAGCTATACCTGACTAAATGGTATATTACCATATATTACTTACATGCTGAAACAAGGCATGCATATTTCAATGTTAAATGGAGGGTGCTAAACTCTGATTACTTGTTTGTTTGGATACTTTAGGAAACCCACTTTATGAAGAAAACCCAGCAAGCAATATGTAGACCGTAGATAAATTACTTACCTTCAGCTGCCCTACAACCATGCTGAGGACACAGCTGTCAGGGGTAGGCTGGTGGTCTTGCGCTGTGATGCTGTGTTCAATGGTCTTGAATGGGAGACTCTGAAAATGGATAGTATCTCCCATAATTTTGGCATTTCCCTCCTACTCTGGGAAACACCCCCACACCCATGCAATCAGCCTTTAAGCTGGCCGTGTACTTCAGATGGAATCCACATGGTTTTAGCAATACGATGATGTATGACATGTAATCACAGCAGTAATCACCATTTCAGTGCACTACTTGCGTAGGGTCACGAGGCGACCGCTCTCATTTGTTATGATCCCACCCACTGTCCATGATTGGCTGACAAATGAGACGCCAAGGGGTTGGTCAGCAGGACTGATTATGCAGGTACTGGCATGCTTTGCATCGCACTTTAAATATTGTAAATTAATATGTGTATTTGTGTATTTCTGTTAAAAGTAAATGTCATATCTGTGTAATGTTTGTGGTGGAATGTGTGTGTTTCATTAGCATGTAACTGTGAATGTCGTGTAAAATTGCCGGCTTCCCTGTCTGAGCCACTGCTAGTATTAATTCAATAGCCGCAGTTAATAGAGCAACTTCAATTTTAAAAGCTGTCATCTCCTCTATTAAAATGACTCGCACACCCCCCACAATACGTTTATTTGCTCTCTGTGTGTGGGTCTGTTACCTCAAAAACATTCTGTGCCTTTTAGGGTTGTGGCATGACATAGAACTAACGAGGAAGTGGCGTCATTTTAAGTATGTGACAGATACTGACCAATGTGTTTGATTTCATTTCGTTTGGAAGTCATATGAAGTATATCGCCATCTTTAACCCTCACAGCACTCGACTTGTATTAAAGATGTATCTAGTTATTGCACCCTTTATATGTTTAAGGTAAATGGGTATTCTTCATATGTAGATCTATTTATTGCCGTCTTAAATGAGACATTCACATTAAATACCTCACTGAACGTCATTACAGGGGAGACCTTATTTCACCACTAAACTCAGTGCAGTGAACTGTGGGAGGCAAAAACTGAAGCCAGCCTGGCTGGAACTGACACTAAACTAGGGGGGAAGCGGATCCTCATCAACTAATAATGTCTGAAACGTATTTTCAACGCATTAGCGCATGCGCAAAAATACAACGTTAATCAGAAACGATTCGAATCCACCCATGATTACTTACGCTGAGTTTTCCCATGATAGCAGCCTTGCCTTGAAATCCCTGTCCTTCCCACGTCAGACACGAAGAATCAGTCTGTAGAAAACAAAATACAACGGCCTGTTGACAGATTCCAAAGCGTTTTAGAAATCAGTATTAAAGTCACACTGTGCTGGGAAACACGTGGATCTCATATGAAGCTAAAAAAAAGCAATTAAAATAAATTTATGATAAGGAAAGATACTCCTTATTGGCTTTATAGCGATCGATAAATAAAATTTGGGTTCTTACATATATATCAGCAAGGTTGGCGCGATTCGTGTCGAATTGTAGGTAGTAATGCTGCACAAAACTCGTCCCTATTTGTTCCCACACTGGTTTCTCCGCCATATCTTCAGAAAAGTCTAACCTAACACACGCAAATAAGCAGTAATAATCAGACTATACGCGAAATTTCTCCTGAATTAGACGCTCGAAGAACCACAGTCTCCAACGCAACCAGCTTATAGATGAAAGTATCTTCCACTCGTAGACCGCGCGCGAGCCCAGGAACCAAATCCGCCAATAGCGGTACAGGAGACAGAACTCCCAGCAAGCGATTGGCTCAGGCCGCGCTATGACGGATGTGGAGGGCGGGATCCTCACGTCATGGCCACGGTGAACGTAATCCTCTTGACTTCCTAGAAGTTTCAATGTTAACTCAAATGACTTCAAAACACTAATACCTGGCTTACTGAAGTGTAATTTTTGAAGTAATTTGCACTGTGTTGTTGACTGACTGCTTACATAATCATTTCTTAAAGCAAATGTTACTTTAAATAATTTTTTAAGACTAGAATACCAAACTAATCATGTGCAAGAACCCTAAAATACATCCTAGGAAACAAGTAAATGCTGCAATTTCATTCAGATTTATAGGCATATACTTCAGTGTTAGTGGTGTAATAGTTAGCATACCTGCCTTCCAAGCAGCTGCCTGGGTTTCGATCTTTAAAGATCTGTAAACAACACATTGCTGGTTTCTCCTAGCGGTTATGCTAAATTGCCTGAAGTTTTATGTGATTCCGGAGTTTCTAAAAGGTTAATAATTAATATAATTATTAATAGCATTAACACCCTCTACACAACCAGAAACAAGAGTTCCTTACATACAGTTGAAACCAGGGACAGAGATCAGGCCTTTATGAAGGCCACTCCAAAACATTGACTTTGTTGTCCTTAAACCACTTTGTAACTAATTTTGCAGGATTCTTAGGGTCATTATCCATTTGTTAGACCCATTTGCACCCATGCTTTAACTTCCTGGCTGATGTCTTGAGATGTTGCTTCAATATGTCCACATAATGTTCTTTCCTCGTGATACCATATATTTTGTGAAGTGCACCAGTCCGTCCTGCAGCAAAACACCCCCACAACATGATGCTACCACTCCTGTATTTCACAGTTGGGATGGTGTTCTCAGGCTTGCAAGCTTCCCCCTATTTCCTCCATAGTCATTATGGCCAAACAGTTCAATTTTAATTTTACCAGACCACAGGACGTCTCCAAAAATTAAGGTCTTTGTCCCTGTGTGCATTTGCAAAGCATAATCTGGCTTTATTATGTTGCTTTTGAAGTAATGGCTTTTTCCTCACTGAGTGGCCTTTCAGCATATGTCGGTACAGGACTCGTTTCACAGTGGATAATTACACTCTGTTACCAACTTCAGCCAATATCTTCACAAGCTCTTTTGCTTTTGTTCTGGGGTGGATACACGTTTTGTACCAAAACACGTTCATCGCTGGGACACAGAACCCATCTCCTTCCTGAGCGGAATGATGGGTGGACATTCCCATGGTGTTTATACTTGCGTATAATGGTTTGCACAGATCAACGTGGCACCTTCAGGTATCTGGAAATTGTACCCAAGGATGAACCAGTCTTGTGGAGGTCCACAATTCTCTTCCTGATATCTTGGCTTATTTCTTTTGATTCTCCCATGATGGAAGCAGTATGTTTGAGGGGTGCCTTAAAATACATCCACAGGTGGGCCTCCAATTAACTCAAGTGGTGTCAATTAACCTATCAGACACTTCCAAAGCCATGACATCATCAAACTGGACTTTCCCAGATTGTTTAAAGTCACAGTAACCTTAGTGTATGTAAACTTTTGAGTTTGAAGAAAATAAAAAAAAAAAATCTCTAAAAAAAAATTCTCTCATTATTCTGGACATTTAGCAAATAGAAATGATTTTGGTAATCCTGACTGACCTAAAACAGGAAAAGGTTTGTTTTTTTATACAGTGTATATAAACTTCTGGTTTCAACCGTTTAAGCACTCATTGCAGCATAAAATAGCACTCATTAAATAGTAGGAAACTCAAAAATATTCTTTTATTACCAACATAGTAAGTAGCAGGAGGAAAAAATTAAATTCAGGGAAACTGTTAAAAAAATATCAGACAGGTATAATGGTAGTGGGCATGTTAGGAACAGAAGAGCAGGAACGAATACATACAGAGACAAGCGGGGAAACTATTTATAAATTGAACATGATATTGCATTAAAAGAAAAAAAATGGCCAGTCATTACAATCACCCTGGCTGATCAAATACTAATTTTTTTTAATGTTGGCATGCTCTGATTGGTGCTTAGTATATGTTAATACATAATAAATGCACCTATATGAAGCGGCAGAGCCATAGATTGTGAGGTGTACTGCCAAAACGCAAAGTACCACAATTTTGACAATAAATACCCTCATTGACCACAGTCAGGTTCTTTGCAAATATTTGTGCATGTAGTTTTTCAGTGAAATTCAGTCAGATGTCCAAAGTCTGCACTAGGATTATAAACATATTTGTGGTAGCTGCCCTGAGCTTTGGAGGTTTATGGTCAGTCATACACTAATGATATGGTTAGATGAACAGTGCCAGGGCAGGCTGCTGGAAGGCCTGGCTGGACACTTACTCTGCACAAGGATGACAGCTGTTACCAAAATAGGAGAATTGTTAATATCACCCTTTTGCTTTTTAGATGGACTGCAGAAATATAAACTACAAATAAAAAAGTATCCCAAAATATGGCAATAATTATGGAGGAAAAAAAAAGTATTTTAAAAAAGCAATATGTTAAAAACTGTCACATGTTAGTTGGCATCCATTTCAAAAAGCTCTTCTTATGGCAAAAAGAAAAAAAAATTCACTCCATTTTCTATAATGTCACAACTTACTTTCCTCCACATACCACTGACTTCATTTCTGGCCCATCTGGGTCATACGATGAAGCACTACCGCATCAATTCGGATTTTACAAACCCAGAGCTGCAAAACACTATGAGGCACTTCTCGCACAAGCATGGCAAACTGTCACTTAGAGGACCTGGAATATTGTTTGGCTACAAAGTCATTTATTCCAAGCGAGAAGCTGAGGCCCTCCTTTACCGAGCTCCACAACTCAGCGCTCCCATGTCCTAAGTGTCAGGACAGTATTGCTTGTCAGATCTCTGACCAACAGTCACTCCCTCTGCCAAAGGATATGTATTATTGCCCTTTGGCTAAAGCGCGATGATGTGGTGCTCCTGCACCAGAGGGAGAGGATTGATCTGGCTTCTCAATCAGTGTTCCATGTGTGGCTGGAAATAATCGTCGGTTCTGAAGACGGACGGCACCTCCTGATGCTGGTTCTGTGGCCTTCTAGAGCCAGCTGGTTTCTGCAAGGAGAACCACAGGTCAAGTCAATAAAAATCCTTGAATAACATCCTTACTGTAGTCCTACAGCACTTACAGTACACCCTCAGCTGACCCTCGAAGCCTCCAAACAAGAAATGCTAATGAATGAGTGGACCTGATGTCCAGGTTTGAATATTTACTTATTTAGCAGAGGCTTTTGTTCAAAGCAACATACAAGTCAAAAAGCGAGAGCCGTGTCCCTGGAGGAACTGGGTTTAAGGGCCTTGCTCAAGGACCCATCACTGACATCCGGTCTTCCGCAGGATTTGAACCAATAACCTTCTGATCACAGGCATTGGAGTCCTAATGCGCAAAGTCATGTACTGTCAGATTAAAGACACAAATCAAGTTTTAACAGACTAAACAGTGTAGTTAGTATGACATCCCACCTGGCCACAAAGTTTGACACCTCTAACATCTGCATGACTGCACTTTCTTGAGCGATGTTGGGCTTGAGAAATGCTTACGTTTAGAAAGGCAGAGACATTCATTGTGCGGAAGATCTTCTTGAAGGCCCCTGGGAGGCTTCCCTGTTCTCCCTCAGCCTGATTCACCTGCTCCTCCATCGCACTGACGTTGGCTCCAACTATTCTGACGAAAGCCTGTCAGCCATGCGAGACCTTTCATCAGAACCCTCTATCTTCTACAACCAGATGTACTAGATGGGCAACTTGACATATTTTCACATATTAATATAAGCACCATCACTTGCGAAATAAAGTTAACCATGTTCTCTGTGCACTGATGAGCTTTTATAAAACGATATTTATCCTTAGTAGCAAACATACCTCTAGCTTATCAATTTTTCTGTAGATTTCTCTCATTTCTTCAGATCTTCTAAGAATTTGAGGTAGATTCTCGTTGACAATCTGAGACGTGTCACTTCGGATCTAAAGAACATTTTATATTACTCATACCAGTACCATTCATTCAATATTATTTACTGGCTTTATTTTTTTGACACAAATGATCATCTTAAACTGAAGAAAATGAGAACTTCAAGAACCCATTTTACTACCAGCAAAAATGCTTTCCAGTCAATAGATACAGTAGTGCAGAAAAAATAACTTGTTACTCAGCTTTAAATATACTACAACAAATAAGATTATATATATAAGTTGAAACATCCCATGCATCTGTAACACAAGTTTCCCAGAGTGTCATTGTAAGAGTGGAAAACTTTATAATCAATCAATCAATAGATCGATTTCTTCAATAATACAGATACAATAAATCTGTGCTGCGATCCTTAAAAACAACCAGATTAAAATTTACTAAACGGCTTGAATAATCCAAAGAATGGGAACAGGTGGCATGATAAAGGAATACCATGTCAAGCATTCCGACGAACTCATCCACCCGAGTAAGCATTTCCTCCAAGCTCTTTTCAAAGCCGTAGACCTGTGGGGGGGAAAAAACAATTTCGTGCGCTTCATGTCATCCTTCAATCCTCAAACCGCCTGTTCTAGTGAGTCCCACACACGCTTTAAATAAGCCCCAGATTCCCCCTAAGCTCCTCCTTGCATAACGTTCATGTTCTATGACAACATAAAGTAATGCATAAAGGACATGCGGAGATATCACAAAGACCTTGCCTAGTAGTGCTATTACTTGACTGTAAATAATCGCTCGATTGAGCCAAACATACGACTTACCTGGTCGTCGGCGTTCGCCCTAATGTAAGCCGAGAAGCTCCGCGCTGTGCGCTGCAGTAGGAATTCGTCGTTTTGCCCGCTGTGTGGCGGCGGAGCGTTGAAGCTGTGGCTTTGTGACACCGAGCCGCTGCTCAGACCCTCACTCAGCATGGAAAAGCTGCTTGTACTCTGGGACACATTGCCGCTGTCCGTGCTCACCTCTGCCGCCGATTCCTCCACGGGCGACAGACGCCCCGCTCCGTCAACCTGACGGTCCATCACACCTACTGTTTCTCTTTCGTCGGGCAGCTGATCAATCACGTGAGTTATCCGTCACTCTGGATAGGTACCCGAATGGCCCAAACTGAACCAAGCGGTGCAATGCGTTTTCCGATTTTTCGGAACGTGGGGCACGTAAGATCCACTACAAAACAGCTGTATTGGGCATGCACTGAACGTAAGAGAGAACTACATACCGTTTGCATTAATACAACGGTGTTAATACAAAGGGAACAGTAGCTTTGTTAGGTAACTCCTTAAGTTTACAGACGGTACCACCCTGATTGGACTCATAAAAAACGGGGATGAGTCCAATTACAGACAGGAAGTAAGTCGACTGGTGTCATGGTGTGATGTAAACATGTTGTGATGAACACACAAAAAACGGTGGAAATGATCACTGACTTCTGGAAAAAAAAACCCAGCACAACCTCCTTTGGTCATACGGAACACTACTGTTAGCAAAACTGAAACCGTCAAATTTCTGGGCACCACCATCCAAGAAGACCTCAAATGGGATGCAAATATCACCTCCATCACTAAGAAGGCCCAACAGTGCATATACTTCTTGCGTCAGCTAAAGTAATTTAAGCTGACGCAGAAGCTCATAGCTAAGTTCTACACGGCTACAGTAGAATCAATTATTACGTCCTCCATCTGTGTCTGGTTTGGTTCTGCAACATCGCACTCTAAGAGGAGACTACAGCGTATAGTGCGATGTTCGGATAAGATTATTGGCCGTCAGCTCCCCCCTCTTGAAGCACTGTACTCATCTCGGATGAAGACCAGAGCCAAACAAATAATATCTGACCCTCCGCATCCTGGCCACTCCCTTTTCCAGCATCTTCTATCCCAGCGAAAGCAAAGAATACGATCCCTGAGCACAAGAACAAATCGTCACCTAAACAGCTTCTGCCCCCAGGCCATCGGCCTTCTAAATAAGGACCCATGAAAAACTGTCATAATGGAACCACGCACTGTTCAAGCTTCATTATCATATTTTAACTAATTGAGCTCAGGCACTGCACCTATGCTCTTTGCACATTACATCCACCCATTATCTATTTATTTATATTGTCCACATGCTTGACTCACCATTGCACATCTCCTGTAAAAAAAAATCCTTGTATCTTTACTTTGAGATGTTTATTTGTATGTATTTTTTATGTCATGATACCACCCGCACCAAAAGAAATTCCTTGTACTTCTCTGTACTTGGCGAATAAAAAAAGATTCTGATTCTTAAGTGCAGAGCTGTAAATTACTAGCCTGACAGCGGAATATTTTTTTTTTTAACTTGCGTAGAGATCATTATATTGTGTGGTTCATACGTTTCCCTTGGAATCAATAAAGCTAATTTTAATATATTTATTTATTTGTGTTTTTAATTATCAGTACAGCGTAACGGGGCAGTTAGACTGTTCCAGTCATATTGTTCAAAGCTGTTTTATTTAAAAGTCAGCATTTAAAAAGTGGTTATTCCTTGTTTACCAAACTGAAAAAGTCACGCAACAGAACATCTTTTAATTTCTTTATTTTAAGTCATCTTTTAAAAATACAAAAAAGTTTAATACATAGTAAGAAAAACAACAGTAATAATATTCACATACACAATTAAAATTTACTGTATAATCTGAGGAATGAGTTTCAAGTGATGTTTACCGTGGATTTATCAATGCAACAAGGGTACTGGAGAAGCACTTTGACACACTGGTAAACTCAAGTGGAATAAACACTCAAGAGAGTTGGACATAAAGAATTTTACACTTGTGCAAAAAATCTCTTTATACATACAGTCAAATGTGAGACACGTGCTAAAATTTTCTTTTTAAAAAGCCAGTTATGCAGTTTGATCAGCTATGCAGTGCTCCTGCAGAGTTAATCAAACCACCCTCTCTCTATTTCAGCTAGTACGTCTGTCAGACTGAACATTTTGGAATGAATTTCAATTAGCCTATTACGGTACCTGAAAATGTCATTTGATAAGCGCGGTGTATGTGGGAAGGAAATCTACACCCACGTTGGTTTGGGCTCCCACTCTGGTTAGCCAGATTGAAGCATATTTGAACCACCTGCTACATGAAGTATGCAGGCCATTATCTCTTATTACATGTGCTTTTAAGAGAAATATTGCAGCTAGTGTTCATGATCTTTTTTTTCTGGTCAGTACATCTATCAGATGAAACCTTTCCAAACATGATCGTACTAAATTCAACTGTTTATGTAGGTCACTCCCTGTGTCGATCACTTGGAATTGCATGCATGCAGTAATAGACAAGAACAATAGCATTCCCGCAAAATCAGAGATTTTCATAATAAATTAAAAGTAGCATAAAATTCCTCACGAGCAGAGGCTGAATTTGAATATAATTACCGCATCGTACCAGCAGGTGGTGTTGTCTAAAAGAAAATGACATCCACGGGGCTGAAGGGGGGGGAGGGCGGGGGGGTGATGACTGCTCAGTTCACATACAACTGTAAAAACAGGAAATTTATCAGCCTTGTCTGAGAATTCAAATAAAAACAAAAAAGTAAAAGCAAATAAAAACAAATCTATATTTCGTTGAACAAAAAAGGACAATTCAAATTCACACAATTGGGGAATACTAAAAAAGAATGAGCTATAAAAACAGTACATTACAGCAATAGTTGTTAAAAATGTACCTTCTTCATTTGACTTTAATAAGATCAGCTAAACCACAGTATTCACTAACAGATCTACATGAACTTAAATTTTACATGTGGACAACAGACTGTGGACCCTCACACAACAGTGTGACCAGTCAACACATATGTGACATGATCGTCTACATTGGCATACCAAATAAAACTACACTGTTTTTGAAAAGTGAGTTCCAAACTTCACCTAGAGAAAAAAACCCACCCCCAATCGGATTAGTGAGGACACACAGAGGCCCTCCAGTGTTTCGGATTACACTTCTAGACTGGGAATTATCAAAGAGGGAATCTTGGTAGAAAGGCAGCTCTGGGATCTCAAGTGCAGGTGTGAGATAAACGTAATTAAACAGTTAAGGGTTCGGGGAGCCCCGCCTTTCTTTACACTGGAGTTAATGCGCTGCATCAGTCACTCTGCATTCCTGCTGTCCGTGCGGCCAGCTTCTGTGTCCACGTGGAAATAACATTTATGCTTCTTAGAAATGCATCCCTTTCCATCAGTTGCTTAAGGAGCTGTTTAAAATGTACCTTACACCTCCTAAATGCATTTTTCATGGTAGCAGATAAGACACCAGACTATGCTGCGAGAACGCTGAAAAATGCAACACAAACAAGCCCATTGTGCTAACCCACAGTGGTAATGTGTTTACTTCCAGGATATAAGATAAGGCAGGTAATGGACTCAATGGCACCTATTTGTCCCTCAGTGCAGACAGCTACTGAAAGCAGTAAAGGATGGCTGCACTCTTAAAGGGCCAGTGCACAGTAATGTGACAGGCGCTTGTGAAAAAGGACAGCCTTCCATCTATGTGAAAAGTTGGTTGAATTCATTAGTGTAGCCTGCCGACGACAGCGTGGCTGATTCATTGCAACCAACGGAAAGACAAATTTATGATAACATAAGAGGCTGTGTTCCTGCATTAAAACAACTACTGTGCTGAAAATAAGGATCCCTGGAAGGGAAGGCTTGCTAGAGTCACGATAGGTTCTTGGATCGTTAAAATGGTTAAAAAAAATTAAAGCTTTACATAACCGTATTGTTGGTCCCGAAAACCAATTACAGAGAGGAAACTGAGATACAGCTACCATTTGGAGCTAGAAAAAAGAGCAAGATGCATCCGTGTTAATTGGAAATTAAAAGGCGTTCCTCATTTAACAGTTAAGGTTCCTATCAAAACACAAAAACAAAACAAAAAAACAATGCAAATCAAACTGAAGGAAGGCGGAAGTCTACACAGTTCCAGCATCATGTTGGGGGGGGGGGATAGGTGGTTAGGCTATCAGAGGGGCTGGAAGGCCTGTGGGGGTGTGCGCAGTTCCACTCCGGGCCTTGCAGGTCAGTCTGTGCACCCGGACCTGGACCTGGACCGGGCGGGTTGGGCCCAGCATTATAGAGTGATAACTGTGCCGTCCTCCTCAACGCCACCGGGGGGCAGTGCCAGGCTGTGCCGGGGGTCTATGCGCATGGCGCTCAGGATTTTGTGCAGGCTCCCGTTGCTCTCCCGGAAGGCGGGGCTACTGCCATGGTCCCTTTGCAGCCTGAAGGAAGGGCTAGCGTGCGGCACACCATTGAGGCTGGGTTGAGAGTGGAAGGAGGCCGTGGAGATGAGCGAGGGGGGGCGTTTGGGGGTGCTGGGCGAGGCGGTGGCGGGGGCCGGCTGCACGGCCTGCGAGCGGGAGGTGGCCGAGGCGTTGGAGCGCCGCGACGGGCGCTTGATGCTGCTCTCGATGACGATGTCAGACTCCTCGTCACTCTCTAGCTCGTCGCCGGCCAGCCCGTGCGCCCCCAAGGAGCCAGGAGGTGGCGCCGGGTAGCCGGCTGAGCCACTACTGTCCGTGGACTGGCCCGAGCTGCGGCTGCTGCGCACTACGTTGTTGCGCTGGTTCACCGGCTTCACCGTGACGATCAGATTGTGGCTGTTGGCGATCATCATGTCCGTCACCTGGTCCAGCGTCTTGCCCGTCACCTCTATGCCGTTGACTTCCAACACCTCGTCGTTGACGGCCAGCAGGCCCGTGCTTTCAGCCAGGCCCCCGGGAACCATGCGAGAGATGAAGATGCCCGGAACCTTCTCCAGGCCGTGCGGCGTGACCCGGACGCTGGTGCCGTCGCGGATGTAGAAGCCCAGCGGCCTATCGGAGCCGTGGCGGTACAGACGCACACGGCGGTGGGACTCAGGCAGGATGTCCACGTCGATGATGGAGGACACAGGCCGGAAGTCCTGCGGCATCCCGATGCGTATCTGCGGCCGCTTGCGGTTGACGTCGTTTCGTAGCGTCACCACGGCCTTCTTCCGCCGCGTCATTGTGTTGGTGCCGAAGTTGCTATAGTCGACCTCCTCTGCAACACAAAAAGGAGTAGGGAAAAATGTTAATGCAGATATGGTTCAAAAATCACAGAAAATTCCTTTTTGAAGGAAAAATGCACTGGCAGGGGAAGTGGACCTTCTGTACCTGGAATCCAGAGTCGACAGAACCCCCGAGGGAGGCTCAGTGGAGACCCACCACTGAGGGACCCGGTTCAGAGAGTGAGGGACAGGTACGCATTATGATGGGGAGTTGGGCTCACTCATGAGCAGCAGGGGGACAGGGCTAATTGGTCACAAGAGCAGGAGGACACTCGAACCCTGGTGCAAAGCACAAAGCTCCAGAGGGCGCTAGCCCTGCACGACAACTCTGTGCCCAAACACGCTTACGTGGTCAGCACGTTACAGCCAGGTCTGTGGGGGTGCTGGGGTGTAAATGTGCCTGACTGGAGGAAGAACGAACACCATCGCTCTTCAGCCAAGTTTCTGCAATAGCAGCACATTCCAGCCCCGCCGTGCTATTCGATCTCAGGGAGCCTCCCTCATCTGTTCCTGTGCGGGGCCTAGACCACGGCACCCTTGTGTGTAAGCCAGCAGATAATCTGTTTAAGAACAGTCGCCCCCTACAGGCTGAGTATGCAACAGCACAGTCTCAGCAAAATGGCCCAAACTCATAGAATCCCTTTAAGCCGGAACATTCTTTACACCGTCCCTTTTAGACCCCATATTTACAAGATGTCTTTGTCACTGCACAATGAGATGACGTTTGGATCATCCTGTAGAAACCTAAATAAAAACTACTACTATTATTTTCCCCCCGTTCCTCCAGAATTCCCAGTAGCAGGAAATACGAGCAAACAACCAGCCTAGGTTGACTTTGGAGATACGCTCGGACTTGCCCTGAAGCTGAATCATGGGAAGCCATGCGTGCTGACTCAGGCCAACATGCCGTCTGCAGTGACTCAAGTAGACCTGCCGTCAATGGTGAGCTCACAGAGGCCCTACAGGCATTCCCCGGTGTCTCACATGAAAACACCCCGGCTCCAGGGGAGTGTTGTAAACCGTACGTCGGCAGAACAAGTAGCTGGTCATCAGTGACCCTCCCTCCTTCGGCTCATGACACATAGACGAAACCCAAGATGTTATGTTGCCGGGAAACTTTGTTTTGAATCCCGCAGCCCCTCATCAAGCGCCACCTTTTCATCCAACCCTCATCCCGCCACAGAGGAAGCCCGGGCGCAACAATGCGAGAGACAGCGCGGGAGCACGGGCCCCAGGGGTCTTCCGCCGTCTCCATGGAGACGGGGATTAGTCAGTGCTGTCGACTCGGGGTCATATGACCTCCCCCACCCAGAGGCCCACTGCTCATCCATGGATGGACAAGTACAAGGTTCACAGACGGAGCATTTGCCGGCGTTGGCTGCCCGCCTGCCGCCCCGGAAGGAGTTCCCTCAGATTAGGGGATGTTTTTTTTTTCGTGAACCGTGGCTAATGGACACAAAAGGCAGGAGGCGTCCTGGGCCACATATTGCCCGCTACACTAAGCCGGGATCCCACCAAGAGAGACGGCCTCCACGGAGCGACATCAAAGGCCTGCCCACCTTCACTCTCAGCCCTTACCGCCATCGCTGTGATTAGATCCAGGCCTGTTTTTCACTGCGTGCTGAAATCTGTGCCACAAGTGCGAGTCGCTGATGAGAAACACATTTCCGGCTCTCGGGGGCCACACTGCACCCCTCCGCCAGTACCCTGCCCAGGCCTCCCGGGCCGAAACCGAATACACCTAATGGGGTGGACGTCTTGCTCCCGGTACAGAGACCCGGAACCGAAATGGGTCACGTCCCAGAGCCGCTGCTGCACCGACCCCATTGGGTTTCCGCTCGAGTTCTTGCATACAATGGATGGCAGGGACCCTGTCCAGAGAGCGCTTGCCCCCTGGTGGTTACGTGTGGAAACAGCACCGGAGCTGCCCAGGCTACAGTCTGATTCAGATGGGTGCTGACACACTAATCCCCCCACCTCAGCAAGGCATGATGGGAAAGCAAATGCCAGCTGACTGATCAAAGGCTGGCTGGCCATTTTAGCGCTCCAATGGAATGGTCCTAAGCCTCTCAGACCCTGGGAACAGGCCTGTTGGCAAGGGGGGGGGGCAGCTGTTTACTTTTACAGTTAACCTGTTTCTAGTGCCTCAAATTCACTGTGATCCTGCTCCGCCAGCCTGCGGATCAAAGTTAATTTAACGGTTCCCTGATAAAGGGGCCGTACCGACAGGAACTAAAAACAAGCAAGAGATTATAGTGAACATGCAGGCGCAGTAGCAGTGCGGAGGGTTTAAATCAGGGCCTGAGCTCAATGTAAAGCCTCCCACCTCCCTCTCATTGACTGCCAGTGCTACCCCACCCCCCGACTGGAGACCGGGGCACAGAGAAGAGCGAACAGACCCGACACACCAGGCGTGCGTGAGCGTGCACAGGGCTGGAATGCGAGGTCAAGCACGTGGCCCCCCTAGGGGTCAGGTTAGGCCACATGGGTCAGAGCACCACAAAACCGACGGGGCCTGCGCCCATCAGTCGGTCCACCGTAAGCAACGCGAGCCACTAGCCCGTAACTCGGCGACCAGAGAGCAACCCGGTGCACACAGAACCTCTTCAGCTGGCCAGTATCCTGAAGGGTTGACAGAGGGACATCCGCCACGATCACGATATACATGCAGGGAAAGTGTTAGCTTAGCACGACGCTGATCAGGGCCGCATCTGTTTGGATGCTGATTAAAGGGGCTGATCTGGCATCAGTTATGGCCATTTGGTGTAAAATAACTGCTAAAACTCTCTGAGAGAGAAATAGTGGGAAAAAAAAACGGAGCAATAAAAAGCTTCAGGGCCAAACAGCACTGGTACGACACGTCACTGGTACGAAAGAGGCCTAAGAGGCTAATCCTCTGCGCTGTGTCCCATTAGCGCACCCCAGCTCTCTGGGACACTAAAGCTAGCGTACCCTGACAGTGAAATCACCTCTACCACTTACACACACAACACCCCCCACTCTATACCCTCAGGCAGGTGTCCAGAGGAGGGGCTCAGGAGACAGAGCCCGTTCTGGGTCAGGGAGGTACTCGTTGACCCTGAAGACCCAGTAGAGCTGGTTCCTGGTGGTGGGGGGGGGGGGGACGGGACATGGTGTCACCTACCCTGACATCACACACAGATTAGCGTTAGCTTGCTATGCAGCATCCTTTGTGTTGTTTCAGGCAAGGAATAAAAAGGAAACGTATTCAGAGCCGTGAGTACAGTTCCATGGGCTCTTTGTAAGACAAAACACAGGGGTGCGGGCAGCGTGTGCGAGGGGGACGTTAATTATTCATCTGTGAGTGTCTCACACAATAGCGGAGCCACGGATAAATACCCGCTGTCTGAAAAGGAGACAGCGGCTCTCTGTCCTCTCTCACTACCCTCCCTGTTTTCTAGGGGTGGATCTCACGTGTCAGACCCAAACTGCCAGGGACCGAGGGGGGGGGTGTACACTGGTGACGACACCCCCGAGGGCAGGAGCTGACGAGTGGCCCTGCCAGCGAAGCCATAACTCTGAGGCGTGGCCCCAAACAGCCCTTCTGATCGCCCTCGTTTACCAGGTGGCTGCCTGCTTTGGCCCAGCCTGGAAGCTTCCGGCATTATCCAGAAGACGCGGCCGTGACAAGTGACCGCCTTTCATTTCCTGCCTCGGACGTGTTAAAAGGAGCCCTCCGGTCACATATCCTGGACTCGTCACACGTACGGAGGGGCTGGCGTGTGCAGTGATGCAGGCAGATGCTGCGGTAGGGGGCTTGGCAGGCCTCGGAGCGCGGAAGGGGGGCGCTCCTGGCTTCCTGCCGGCCAGCCGGCCCTGGATGTGCTTGCTCTGCATTTCCA